AAAGAAATTCTTATATTAAAAGCGAACATGTAAATCAAGTTCAATTTGCTGATCCATTTGAATTACTATTGTTGTCAAATATATATATTTTATTAAAAAAATTCAGTGAAAAGAGAAAGTTGGCAACAGTGAAGCCCATAAACTGTTGGCTGAAAGCACGCATTTGCCTTTACCATGAGACTAATGACGTCAGACAAATTAAGGAACTGATTGGTCAGAAACACGTGTTTGATGTTATCAGGTGACTAATGACGTCACCTGCCGACTATGACGTTGATTAGATGTTATCATCAAAACACATGAAATTAAAAGTATTTCTTTAAGATAGTAATATATTTTTCTTTAAAAACAAGTAATATAAATAAATTTAAGTCAATTCCTACTTAGATCACCAAAGAAAAATTTTATTTTAGCTACTTTTTATTAAATAGTTACAATTAATATCAATATGTATATACATATGACATGTATATAATTAATTTTTATTCATTATCATTTAAGTATCGTATTGTCATCCAAAACAATCGTGTCTATAAAATTTCAATTCAACTGAATGCTTTAAAACGTGAGAAAAAAAAATCTTTTCAAGTTTTGACACAAGTCGCCAAAAGGGTCGCTAAGTAGCCAAAAATGATGCCAACGTGGCTATGTGTGTGGTGGTATTTGTAATTTTAAATACCAGTCTTAATCACCACTTTTAATTATAATTAAATTATTGCATTGTCATCCAAAATATTCATGTATATAAAAATTTCCAGCTCAATCGAGCGCTTTCCTTGTGTATTATTTTATTAACGATTGAAAATTCCACCAAGATTAATAAATAAATAAATATTTAGAGAGAGTGAGTTAATAGTATTAACTGAAAGATAAAAATTATCTTTATGTATTTCTAGTAAATATGTGTTTAAAGTTATATTACGAAAAAACAATCCTTCTCAATCACGTTAACGAACATTTGATGTTTTCAAAAATAATTTTAGATTTTAAATGTTACAGCAAAATGCGACATGAAAGGCCAATTTTATCAAAAAGGTATTTTATTTAAGAATAACAAACTGTTTATTTAAATAATTTCTCTCTCAATTGTTCCATAATTCTTCACAATCACTCACATCTTTTTTCGAAGAATTTCTTTCAAGTCTTTTCATTTTTTTTTTTCTGTTTCATATCTCTGTATAAAATAGTAAAGTAAGTAATAATCTACGTAGATTATTACTAAAGTGTGATAATCTGCATATATTATCAAATTAAAGATATGGCATCCACTTGAATCCTCAATACAATCTGTATGACACACACTATTGCAACACGTTGTTGATTAGACTACCATAGCTAAGCGAACGCCGAAACAAAATTTGAATAATTATTTTTCACAAATTCTAGAGCACAAATAAGTTACGAAAACAGTTATTATTCAGACAATAATTTCAAACAATTTGTTTAACGAATTTATTTTTAATATATGTATCTACCAAACGATTTAATATTAGAAAACCACCGAAACACATTTTTACTACAAATTTCTTCTGAAATGGGAGCCACAATATAACGATTTCTATATATTATTAATAGCAATATCTCCCTTAAATGGTAAGAAATGTGTTCTTTAAAATTGATTGCAATTCAAAATATTAATTTTTATACTGTTTAAAGTACATTATAATCATTTATTTCTTCCATGATGACAAAAAAAGTAAAGAAAAATAAACACATTACATGACTTGATAGGAGTATAATTTTTTTAAGAACAATTATGGTCTACCAGTTAAATACTATTAAAAATTTTCATTAAGAACATGATAAAAAGAAAATAACTCCTATTGTGACGACTTCGATTGGGGTGAACCTCACCCATCTATTCATGTGAAGTTTTATGTCCCCAAACAGACGTTGGGTGACAAGAGCACGTGGCTAGGGGGGGTCATTGTGTTTTTTCTGGCCTGGGACAAACGCAGACATCGAGTCTGAATTTACAATAACTAAAGAGTCCCGGTGACAATAGGGTTGACGCATAGGCGAAGCCTGTTTAAAAGTCGGTGCCTGACAATGGGGCTATAAGGCCCGGTGGGGGATGAATAGGAGTTCTAGAAGTTGGATGAAATTATGGCCCCCAGATTCCCAGACAGACGAGGAATGTGTTTGTGTTTGCCGCACAAATGGGGGGACGAATGTGGCCCGGGACGAGGGCAGAATTTTTTGGGCCCGTGGGGAAGACGAGGGCGTGGGGGACCCCCCTGGTGTTTAAAAAAGGGGGTTTATTTTGAGGAGACGGAAAGAGAGGAAAAAAAATTGACGGAGCCTTGGATGGGAAAAAGAGAGATTGACCCCCGGGAAAGGGGACAAACTGGATAAGAGCCCTGAAAAGGGGAATAGTGAGTGCCTTTGGGAAAAAGGGGTTGAACTCCCGGGAAAAAAACTGTCCGCCCGGGGCATATTTATTGGGCTTTTTTTGTAATATATGAAGCAAATAAACTGCTTTAATTTTGAAATGAGGCCGTGACAAATTTTCTTGTTTGTTAACTACTGACGACGTTACACTATGAATAAATATTTTGAAAATAATCTGTTTCTTTAATTTTGAATCTTCCCATCGAAGTAAAATGAATTCATTCAACACGGAATTAAATAAAAGAAATATCTCATTAACCGGAAAAGTGTGGTTCAGTATTAAATGACTATAGAATTGAATAAAATTTTCTGAACCGTTACTACTAATTAAGTTAATTTCTGCAACTTTTCAAGAACCACCTACAATTACAGGATAAATTAGTTGTTCCTGAAGCGGAATATATTAATCTACCTTGCCTTTTTGAACGTCATTTTCGTAAATCAGGGACGACCATTATAAAGTTACAAAGATTGTGACGGGCTCACGCGTCTTTTCATTAACATGTCCTTTGGGTTCTTTGGGGCCAGAATTAATGGCAACTCTTTTCCAACCAAACCCAAGAAGTGAAGCGTGGGGAAAAATGCAAATTAGGCTTTTAAACAACAAAATTAAAGTAAACGATTTGGCAATTTGGGGAATTTAGATAGTCTGCGATTAAATTTTGGGAAGTGACAGCCAACAGAGGAATTCCAAAAAAAGTTTTAGGTCAAGGTGCATACCATTGCACCCCGGGTAAAAGCAACTAACAGAATCAGATTGATCCTCTTTATTCAACATTGGTGGGTGACTATTTTAATATTCGGGTCGGATAGAATTATAATTGAGCTTAGGGAGTTTGTTATTGATAGTGGTCCATTAGCTATTGGTAATATATATATTTGTGTTTAGTCATCGTAGACTTCCCATATAATTTTTATCTAATCTGTTAAAGGTTTTAAATTTAAGATTTTAAAAAAAAATATTAAGATCCCGTCATCCCCAGTTCTTCATTTATTCCTACACCTCTAGCTCACAATGGGGGTTCTAGGTCTTCATCCCGATACCGGACGCTGTCCCGAACCCCGTTTAAAGATGTGCTGGTCGGTGGGTATCCCAATAAATCCCTGCCCACACCATTTGCTTTCCCCCTCGGGAAAGCGTGATGTTCGGGGATGTTTGGGGCTGATTGCGTATTCCTTTTTACCCCCATCCTTATACGTTTGTTTTGGCTTCAGAGAAAATCTTGACTGTCAGTAAACATGACATTGCCCCAGTCCCCAGTCCAATTGCCATGTGTCGGAACCTTTAATCGTCCCCCCTCTTGATTGGACGAATAGAGGAACACAAATCGATAATACAGTCCTTTCATATGTAATTTCGGTGCGTAGCTGCAAATATAGCCTTACCAAGGGCGCTGAAACCATGATATCACACGTGGGGGGTCGCTCGGATTACGCTTGGCTACAATAGGGTATATCATCTTATCGGGGTTGTAACCCGGGGTGACCACCCACTGGCCTTCGGACAACGTTGTGTGGTTTGGAATTGTTTCCCAAAACGTAAAATTCGAATGATGAACTCCGAAGAAAAGAGCAACTTGGAACGTTGTCCTTTTTCAAGCCCCAAGCACCCAGTGCTCGAATCTTCCATTCTTTTTCGGGAAGTCATAGAAACACGTATGTCTTGAAAACAAATTGTAAAAAAGTTTTAAACACCTTCTATCAGCACTAACAATCAACTTTTGTAACCCTTCTAAAGCTGGCTTCTTATAAGACTGCCCTTTTTCCCTATTTTTTGGGAAGAAACACGATTGGTTGGTACTAACATATTTGCATACTTCCATCTACCTCTGCAAAAAGCACCCCCTTTAATTTGACTGGCCCAAATTAAAAATTTTCTTCTCCATGCTTAACATTTGGGAGTATATATATATATATATATATATATATATATATATATATATATATATATATATATATAAAAATATATATATATATATAAATTTCCCCTTTTCACCCATTTAATTAATTTTTTTTAAAAATATTTAAACAAACTTTTTTTTTGGTTAAAAAATAACGTTTTTTAAACTTAATCGTAATCAACTGTATCCGAAATCCCTGCCCCGCCCATTTTAACCAAACAGAACCTTAATATAAAATAGTCACACAATTTTTTGCCGTTATAAAAGCGAAAATCTTGTGTGATCGTTCTCTTTTCTTTGTGTTTTTTCATGTCGAATGCGCCGCGTTGCCTTTTGTTATTGTGTTTGCTTCCCCTCTTCTTATCAAATATCTGTGAAATAAACTGTGGTTTTTCAACCACGTTATTTTTGTGAATAAACAAAATTAAATTTAATTTGAAGATGTTTTCTGTGAAACCCTTGGTAAACAAACAAAACAACAAAAAGGTCATGACGTTATATATATATATATTCTTCAAATTTACAATTATTAATAAAATACTTTCTATTACCCTTCTTCAAATACATTTTAAAACTTGTGGGGGATAACACCTGATGCTCATACATTTTTTTTCAAAAAATATTAATTCATTCAAAAAAAAAAAAAATGAATAAATGTAAAAAAAAAAATAATAGTCCATCAGCATTAAGAAAAAAATCGTTCATTGTGTCCATGTAGTACAATGGATAGCTCGTTGGATTTTTAATCCAAAAGTTGTGGGTTCGAATCCCACCTGGGATGGCCTAATTTCTGAGAATGTGATTTCTTTTTCACTCTACTATTTTATTAGAATAATTAAATTTAATAAATGAATAAATAGTAACAAACAAAAAAATTATTTCCAACACCCTATATAGAAAGGAAAATCCCTTTCTATTGTGTCTCTTAATGTTGTGATTCTGTCCTATGTAACTACGTATTTATATTAATTACAACTATTTAATAAAAAGTAACGAAAATAAAATGTTTCTTTTTTCACCTAAGTAGGAATTGACTTTTTTTTTTATATGACTTGTTTTAAATATTTTCAATAACATTTCTTTGACTGTTTTTATGGAAGTTATTACAGCAAATTATGTATAAGAATTATATATATATATATGATCATTCATTGTGCCCATTAAATTTAAGATACTCCAGTAAATTAAAACTTGACAGTTTCCGGGAAAATTATTGGAGTTTATTTTTTTTTCTGATTTTTCGTAAAATGTGTTTGAAGTTTTAGTTCTCTAAAATACGAGTAATTTTTGTGTTTAAACCGCGATGGATAGAGATAAGTTTAACTGCAAATTAAGGCTAAATGAATTGTATAACTCAAGTTTTTTCTTTAAAAACACAAAGCGTTTTTGAAATACAAATTAAGTTTTACTCTAAAAGATACTGATAAAATTTTATGAAATGCCTTTTGATTGTTTTGTAAATGCCTAGATCTAAGCATCAATTTATTACTAAAATATTTATTTAGCTTTCAAAAATTTAACTGAAAAGAAATATTTCGTAGTATTGTTATTCCATTTTCTTTTCGCAGTATTGCAGAAAATATTTAGAATACATTAGCAGAGATACGGTACTCCCTTACACATTTTATTTATTTATATATTTATATGAAAAAAATTGAATTGGTCCTTTTTATGGTAATATGTCAAGTATAATATCTCTTCTGCATTTTAAATTAATCTCGATCAATTTTTTTTCTTCCTAAAAGCAACTATGAACATAATTTAAAATCATCTTCATCTTTTTTAAATCTTCACACATTGTGTTATGCATTTGTATGTTTTAAAACAAACTATAAACTTTTCCTCCAAAATTAACTAAAATAAACTAAACATATGTCAGAATTTTCAGGAAAATTATCCATATTTTTAAAACCGTAAATGTTTTTGGTATATCAAACAGTAAAATTCTGCCATTCTATTTCTGAACTGAAATATTATATTCCAATACTAATGACGTCAAAATATTTTATAACAAACAAACAAAAAAAAAAAGAAAAAGAAAAACTAGTTCGAAAATCAATGTCGCCATTTGCTCAAACATGTCAGCAAATTTTGAAGTCCTAACCTGGCTATATCAATTGCCTTCATCCGCGTTGTTTGGTTACTTAGATGACGTCATCCGTTACCTAGGCAACGAAGCCTGGTATCTCTGTTTAAGAGCAAGATGCTTGGGACCTATAGCTGCCATTAAAATGCGCCATACTTAGCATTTTGTAGCGGGTATAAAAGTATAAAAAGTCCATATAAATCGGGATATAAAAAGATTCGCGCTATAGTTTTTCGTATCCACGTTGTTAAAACCGCCGAAGTTTTTGCCTGGATCCGAATTTCCTTTCAGATAAGAAATACTGAAATGTTACTTGACTTTTAAGGTTTTAAAAGAAGACGGTTATAAAACCATAGAGCGTTTTTTTTTTTCTTTCTTTACTTCATTTTTTCAACAGTGTTGTATTTTTTATTACGAATACTTTTAACAGTGACTCTCAACTGTGGCAAACAATTTTTTGCTCTTTCTTTACGGGTTTTTTTCTTTTATTTTCTTATTTGTCTTAACTTTACAGATTTTTTTAATGCGGAATAAAAGTATATGTTTTAAAGAAATATTTAAAATACTGTATTGTTTTAGGGTGTAATGAATCGTGGAATTTTTTTCTTTACTCGGAAGCTTATAAAAATAACTGTTTGTTAAGTATTTTAAACTAGAAGTATAAACTTTTATCTTAAAAGTTTTCCATATAATTGTAGATTTATTCCGGCTTACTTAACTCAGTCTTTCAACCCTTCAGTGAGTTGATAAATGTGTATCAAGATTGCATGGGAAGTAAACACCAGGGATTTCACGTCATACTGACCACCTGACTGGAACATCTGCTTATGCACCTCACTGCCCAAGGTCATGAAAACTGAGATGGGCACAGTAGGCCTTTGCCCTCTATGAGGTATTGCGCCACTGAGTTTAGTTTAGTAGTATCTCTGTTTGGAATGTATGCAAATCCACACCATTGATCGCACAGATCCAAGATTTTGTAGAGAGCTTCCCTCATGTTTCAAAGAAACCGTAAGCATATTCCCTTTAAAACGTTTTTTAAAATTTATTTTGAGTGAATTTTTTTCTAAAACCTCGTTGAGAGTTTCCGTGTGTCCATGTGAAGATGCCAAATTCCATGATATGCAACCAATAATGGAAAACATTTGCCGCTTATGTTTAAAAGATGATTCCTGCATTTGGCTACAACTTTTGATTTGGCAACATTTATGAACAGGTTTTTGCGGAAATCTGCAGACAGGAGAGGAGAAGGGTAGCGAGGGTGTAATTGATAAAATTTCCGTTGTTGAACTTTGAAACCTACAGACTTGAAATTTGGCAAGGATGTTTTTTTTTTTATTAAAAGTCTATTTACGGAAATCGTCTCCTAACAGGGGGGGACTAGAAGGGTGAAAAAATTATAAGAGTTTTTTCTGTTTTCGAAATGGTGGCGTGGTAGTTGCGGACGTTGTATTTGCGGACACATAACATTTCGTGGTTTGAGCTGACATATTCCCTCCATCTTAGAACAGATAAAGGGTGCAGATAAATAAGGAAATAAATACTTTTAGAAATCACAAACATAATTTAAAATAGTATTTTGAGTGGCAAATCTCTTTCACGTAAAAACGTTTTCTTTCTTTTTTACCGAAGTTTTCTGTTTTTACACTCGATTATCGAACTACAAGGATAAATACATTTTGCCAATCAAATTTAATTATTTATATTGAATTGTTAAGATATTATAGAGTGAATGCATTTTAAACGTAGCGAAATGTAATAAAAATAAAAACTTTCAGAGAAATACTATTTAAAAATTAATAGTAAGTAACAGTATAATGAAGGGCATGGACAAATTTCAGGGAGTTGTATTTTAGAGTCAAATAAATATAAGAAACATGTGCAATTACCATAAAATTAATTAGTTTCATTAATGTAAGTAAAGATAAATACTAGAAGTATATAAAACAGATACAAGTAAATAAAAGAGAAATAAATACAAGTAAATAAATACTAACTAGAACCTTTATTATAAAGGCATAAATGTCGTTTACGATTGTGTGTGAGTGTGGATTTAGTCTCTCTCACCTGGTACAAAACTTAAGATTTTAGATATTTTTTCTAAATTGTTCGATGTTTCGAACTCTTTTATGATGTTTTCAATTCTTTCATTCAGTTTTGCACATGCGTTTTTCCTTTATATTCCAGGGATCGCCAATTCCCTGGTTTTACATTAAAAGACACTTTTTTGCGGTTCTTCTTTTAGTATTTTATGTAATAAGGGGACATTAGACTGGTTTCCCCGCCAGTGATTGCATTTAATTTGGAATTCCACCCTTCGACAGAATATGTCCTATGACGCTGTCCATATACATTCCATACTTTAATGGGCATATTTGTATTGTCCATCCACTGCTCGACAAAATAATCAATGATTGGAGTAAGTTTGTCAATGCTAAAAGCGTTTTCTGTACAATGCTCACACAAGCATCATCTATGTGTTCCATTGGCAAGTAAGCTAATACAGAAAACATTGTACAGCCATTTCTAATATATTCGTTCTCTTTATATTCCTTTACTAGATCTATTTCTTGACTTTACGCCCCAAACATGGATTAAAATGAAAGTTACAACCGGAAATAGCCAACTGGGAAATTTAACTTTCAACTTTTGATGGCTCTGCAGCTTCAAAATCCAATTTTATAATGTCCGGCTTCCACTTAGGACACCAACGTGTCACTCCCTGAAACTTTGCAATGTAAGTTGTTTGTCTCTTATCAGGCAGAATTACAAAAAGCGCTGGATACACGTTGATCTCAGTTACGCTACTCCTTAAGGTATCCGACTACGTTCGGAACCGTGATTTTGAAAAAAGCTCGTAAATAGATAATATTTATGATATTTAGTGTCACTTAGATTAGAATACATGTATAAAATTGTTTTAAGAACATTATGACAAAAAAAGTATTTAAATATACAATATTTTGGCAAAAAATTAACTTAGAATAACCTTTTTTCCAAATGTTCTCCTTTTGTAAAAAATGCTTCTATTATAATGATATTTTGCCTGTATATAGCTCAGACCTCTGTATTCTAATCAAAGTTACACTAAATATCATGAAAATTATCCATTTATGCGCCTTTTTAAAATCACGGTTCCGAACGTAGTCGGATACCTTAACAATGTGTTCGAAAGCAATTTTGTAAAAATAGAATTTATAAACTAGCTCCTCATTGGGAAACATTACTGAACGTTCGAAAGTAAATTATGGTGCAGAATTATTCTGTGCAAAAATGTACATGTACCTTCATGTGCTCTCAATTAATACAGAAGAGAACTTTTTTTGATCATCAGATATTATATATAAGCGTTCAAGTATTCAGTCAAATTTTAAATACTTAGTAAAATGGTGTATTATAAACTAAACTGAACGAGAAAATTATATTCTGCTATTTTTTCATAGTTTGGCTAATATAATATATTTTTTAATATTAAAATACCCAAAGAAACATTATTAAGTTTAAAAAAAAGTGAAAGGTATATAATGAAATACCTTAAATATTACACACATGCCCACTAGCATAAGAGCTAACATTTTTTTTTCGCAATCTCTAACACCTCCTCCAATACCAAGACATAAAAGCACAAGAGCGTAAAATACACTCTCTCTATATATTAGCTCAATGAACCGACTGGGAGAGATTAACGGACTAAG